AAATGTTGCTGAACGATTTGAACCAGAAAAAATAGCAGGCGAAAATGTGTTTACAAAATAAAAATAGTTCGGTAGCCAATGGAAATACCATGTACCATGTTCATTTGCATATCGACCGTGACAATACCGAAAACATTATTGCATGGGTGATATGCAAATTAGTTTGACTCAAAATAAGTGACTGCCTAAAAGTACCATTACTGTTGTTCAAATTTCATTTCACTCGGCAAGTATATTCATGTACCCCAAGGGGAAAATATCGTACTTCTAAATATTGTCTATTTCGAAAAACGGTACTCCTGAAGGGACTACTTTGATTGCTCTCAGACCTCATTTGCATATGGGTTGTGGAAATACCGATTTTGATTTCAGGGACGAATCAAAATAAACTGCAGTACATATGTAATAATTAATAAAACGAAATAGAACAGAAAACTAAGTTGAACAATTGAAATAAAGACAGAAATTTGCAGCATAATTAAGTTAATTAAAAAATATATATTTATAGAGACAACCGCTTGTCAGTTATCGCTTTTTTTTCTAACATCTATTTGTTTAACAAGTCCAAGGTCATAATAAGTTTTTCTTCTTTGAAGCTGTTTATTTGCAATACTAGTATTCTTTACCAGTCTCAATCATGATGACTGTGCTTATCTAGTGAATCATCTTAACGCCAGTTAGTTTTGAAACAAAAAAAACTAACATGAACAATTTTGTGATTTTCAATACTGTGTTTTAGTAATGAAATACAAAACAAATGTCAAACAACGTACAAGGGTCAATTTTATATTTTTTTTGTAAACGGCGGTAATTTCCTTGAAAATACGAGAATATAACGAACGGCAGTGACAACTAGCTTGCACTGAATAACTCACATATAGACTATAACAACTATCAAAGACAAATAATTTACTGTTGTGTTGTTAAAACGATCTTTCATACTTTTGGATCTTGAATAGAATTGTTTTTTTTTTTTTTATTCTGGCAGTTACGTTAATCATCGGACGCACTTGTTGCTGCTTTATCAGTGATCGTAACTAATGGAAAACTGTTTTCCCTATTGGCATTGCACGCACGGATCAAATCAATACAATTTTAACTATTTTGGAGTGTAAACGCTCTCCATATCTTACATAAATATCCTGTATACGAATAGGCCATATGTTGGGATACCTTCAATGTTTTACGGCATTCTGGTCGTACATAAGGAGTAATTCATTTAATTATTTGTTTTACAAAAAGAAAAAAATAGCGTGATCGCGCGATTTTCACCGGTCAATCGGCCCGTCTTATTTTGCCCCCCCCCCCCCAATAGACATAAATACGTTTTGTCGTCTGAGCTACTCAGAGTTT